CCCTCCTTCCGCTACACTATGTCTGTACATCATACAGTTCAATGATTTATTGAGCAACCAACACTGTGCATCAGTGCTATACCGACGGCTCTGTAGAAGAAGGTGGACGATGTACCGGATGTGCATGTAACATATTTGAACAATCTTCTCTCGTACATACAGCAATGAAGCGCGTCAATGACTGGGCAAGTACAACTCAGACCCAACTTGCAGGCATATACCTTGCTACTGAATTTTTAAAAGACAAAGGCAGTGGACTTATATACTGTGACTCGCAGAGTGCACTCCTGGCACTGAACGCTCATAGTAGTAGTGACACCCAGAAGAACAAATCCACAAGGGCCGTGACGAGGATTCGAACCTGCGTCCGAGAGCATCCCAGACGCTGCCTTAATCGACTGAGCTACGACATGGTATAAGAATTACAACGAGAAATTCTACTGAATTTATCAGTATCTATTTATCTATTACTATTTATCAGTAGAATCTACTGAATTCTACTGATTTCTTCATATGATACATCACGCTATTGTGATTTCTGTGTGTAACACCCAGAAAATAGTCAGTGATATTTGAATGAATGTTTTAGCTGCTAAAGAAAGCAGATTTGAAATTAAATTCCTTTGGATACCATCACATGTTGGCATCTCAAGGCATGACACTGTTGACATGCTTGCAAAGTCAGCCTGCAGTAGACCAGTGGTAGATATTAATATGGGGGTTTCATTAGCTGTGACAGAGAATACTTAAATATCCGATGAAAATCTTACTGACCTAACAAATTCACAAAGACCTGAAAGTTGTATTATTAAACATTATGATAAATATTATGAGGAAACACTCTTATATGGAACTAATAGAGCAAGAACTCTGCGAAACTTACCTATTACCACCACCAAACACCATTAAACACCATTACCACCACCAAACACCATTACCACCATCAAACACCATTACCACCACCAAACACCATTACCACCACCAAACACCTTTACCACCATCAAACACCATTACCACCATCAAACACCATTACCACCATCAAACACCATTACCACCATCAAACACCATTACCACCACCAAACACCAATACCACCACCAAACACCATTACCACCACCAAACACCATTACCACCACCAAACACCATTACCACCACCAAACACCATTACCACCACCAAACACCATTACCACCACCAAACACCTTTACCACCATCAAACACCATTACCACCATCAAACACCATTACCACCATCAAACACCATTACCACCATCAAACACCATTACCACCACCAAACACCATTACCACCACCAAACACCATTACCACCACCAAACACCATTACCACCACCAAACACCATTACCACCATCAAACACCATTACCACCACCAAACACCATTACCACCACCAAACACCATTACCACCACCAAACACCATTACCACCAACATTTCAACAATTACCATTGTCATTACCACCACCATCACCAGCATCAAATAGCACCATTAGCATCAGACAAGACCATTATTTCCGTCAAACATTATCATTATCTAACCTGTCTTGACAACTGTCAAACACCTCCACTACCAACAACAACATTCGCATCAGGAATTACAGCCATTTGATTTATCCTATTTGTATCCTCTGTAGCCTATTTGATTTAGTCCAAACATTCTAATCATTTAATTTGTTGGCTGGCGAGACCAGTCATGATGCAAAGATTATGAACGAATTAAGATTTCACAATTTCAACATTGTCCAGCACTGGTAACTCTGGTATTTTGTAAGCTTAGAACATTATATTTTTCATTAGTAATCCCCTGCACTGCGCATAGCGCCTTGAGGCGCTCGACTGGTGGTGAAGATAATACCCGTGAATACATCGTAAGATTCAAAACTGGCGCGCGGTAACTTGGGTACCAGATGGAGGGCCGAGGCCTCCAGTGAGCGTCGGCCATCTTGGAAAATAAATCCCAGCATGACCCACGGTAGACTCTGTTTACATATGGTTGACGCGCGTGCGGGTCAGCGATGGGTTGTGTGGTGGGGAACCCCCCCCCGTCTGAGGCATGACATACAGGACATACTTAGTCAAGAAAACCATGATAGAGATGCTGACAACTTAAAGCCCGATAAAGACGTACCACAACGCTCGGATAGGAACAATAGGAACATGGATGAAGGGATACAGTGTACTGCGCGGGCATCAGCCCACCTGCGCCGCGCCTTCCCACGTCTGGTGGAAACGCGGGGACATGGAGCGCGTATGGGAACATCCGGAGCATAGGTTCGAACCCTTAAAGACCCCTTGTGGATTTGTTTATTTGATATATCATCTTATTGTGATTTCTGCGTGTACCACCCTCTTTATCACCACCACCTGTGCCACCTACCATTCCTGAACACTAAGGTAATGGAGAGAACACAGTGGTGGTGGTGGTGGGCCCCGCCATGGTGGGCCCCGCTCCAGCAGCAGCAAGGGTGTACTAGCGCGGGAAAATTGTAAAACATATATTCCAGAAATACCAACGTTTGATGATGACAAATATATTGACAACAATTCACACTGGTGCAATGATAAACAGAGACAACTGTGCAACGTCGGGTCAATTGTGTCAACCAGGGTCATGAACTACAACATAAATATTGGTAGAAAGATATGACATTGGGGCTGTCGAATGTATGTTTGTGTCTGTGCGCGGGAAACTAAAATTAGAATAAGATTTTTTGGGGGGTTCATCTTGTGATGGTGACAGGATTGTTTCAACGTGTCTTTGGTGAAATGGGGCAAGGAACCTCCACTCCTTACGTCCAGTCTCTTGTCATAATTACTGGTGTGAAGTTTGCTCAGGAAGGCAGTGCTGTGACAAGAGTTTGTGAGCCATCAACGCCTCGCCCGGCTTCCCGACGCCTCGCCCGGCTTCCCGACGCCTCGCCCGGCTTCCCGACGCCTCGCCCGGCTTCCCGACGCCTCGCCCGGCTTCCCGACGCCTCGCCCGGCTTCCCGACGCCTCGCCCGGCTTCCCGACGCCTCGCCCGGCTTCCCGACGCCTCGCCCGGCTTCCCGACGCCTCGCCCGGCTTCCCGACGCCTCGCCCGGCTTCCCGACGCCTCGCCCGGCTTCCCGACGCCTCGCCCGGCTTCCCGACGCCTCGCCCGGCTTCCCGACGCCTCGCCCGGCTTCCCGACGCCTCGCCCGGCTTCCCGACGCCTCGCCCGGCTTCCCGACGCCTCGCCCGGCTTCCCGACGCCTCGCCCGGCTTCCCGACGCCTCGCCCGGCTCCCCAACGGCCCGCCCAGCTCCCCAGCGGCGCGCCCAGCTCCCCAACGCCTCGCCCAGCTCCCCAGCGGCCCGCCCAGCTCCCCAACGGCTCGCCCGGCTCCCCAACGGCTCGCCCAGCTCCCCAACGGCTCGCCCGGCTCCCCAACGGCTCGCCCAGCTCCCCAACGCCTCGCCCGGCTCCCCAACGGCTCGCCCAGCTCCCCAACCCCTCGCCCAGCTCCCCAACGGCTCGCCCGGCTCCCCAACGGCTCGCCCGGCTCCCCAACGCCTCGCCCGGCTCCCCAGCGGCCCGCCCAGCTCCCCAACCCCTCGCCCAGCTCCCCAACGGCTCGCCCAGCTCCCCAACGGCTCGCCCGGCTCCCCAACGGCTCGCCCGGCTCCCCAACGCCTCGCCCAGCTCCCCAACGCCTCGCCCGGCTCCCCAACGGCTCGCCCAGCTCCCCAACGCCTCGCCCAGCTCCCCAACGCCTCGCCCGGCTCCCCAACGGCTCGCCCAGCTCCCCAACGCCTCGCCCAGCTCCCCAACGGCTCGCCCAGCTCCCAAACGCCTCGCCCAGCTCCCCAACGCCTCGCCCAGCTCCCCAACGCCTCGCCCAGCTCCCCAACGGCTCGCCCAGCTCCCCAACGCCTCGCCCAGCTCCCCAACGCCTCGCCCAGCTCCCCAACGCCTCGCCCAGCTCCCCAACGCCTCGCCCAGCTCCCCAACGCCTCGCCCAGCTCCCCAACGGCTCGCCCAGCTCCCCAACGCCTCGCCCAGCTCCCCAACGCCTCGCCCAGCTCCCCAACGCCTCGCCCAGCTCCCCAACGCCTCGCCCAGCTCCCCAACGCCTCGCCCAGCTCCCCAACGCCTCGCCCAGCTCCCCAACGCCTCGCCCAGCTCCCCATCGCCTCGCCCAGCTCCCCAACGCCTCGCCCAGCTCCCCATCGCCTCGCCCAGCTCCCCAACGCCTCGCCCAGCTCCCCAACGCCTCGCCCAGCTCCCCAACGCCTCGCCCAGCTCCCCAACCCCTCGCCCAGCTCCCCAACCCCTCGCCCAGCACCCCAACCCCTCGCCCAGCTCCCCAACGCCTCGCCCAGCTCCCCAACGGCTCGCCCAGCTCCCAAACGCCTCGCCCAGCTCCCCAACCCCTCGCCCAGCTCCCCAACGGCTCGCCCAGCTCCCCAACGCCTCGCCCAGCTCCCCAACCCCTCGCCCAGCTCCCCAACCCTCGCCCAGCTCCCCAACGCCTCGCCCAGCTCCCCAACGCCTCGCCCAGCTCCCCAACCCCTCGCCCAGCTCCCCAACGCCTCGCCCAGCTCCCCAACCCCTCGCCCAGCTCCCCAACGCCTCGCCCAGCTCCCCAACGCCTCGCCCAGCTCCCCAACGCCTCGCCCAGCTCCCCAACCCCTCGCCCAGCTCCCCAACCCCTCGCCCAGCTCCCCAACGCCTCGCCCAGCTCCCCAACCCCTCGCCCAGCTCCCCAACCCCTCGCCCAACGCCTCGCCCAGCTCCCCAACGCCTCGCCCAGCTCCCCAACGCCTCGCCCAGCTCCCCAACCCCTCGCCCAGCTCCCCAACGCCTCGCCCAGCTCCCCAACCCTTCGCCCAGCTCCCCAACGCCTCGCCCAGCTCCCCAACCCCTCGCCCAGCTCCCCAACGCCTCGCCCAGCTCCCCAACCCCTCGCCCAGCTCCCCAACGCCTCGCCCAGCTCCCCAACGGCTGGAGTGAGTTTACCCGGTACAGAGAG